GGCCGGTGGTGAAGCGCTTGCCCTTGGGCTGGTTGGGGTCGTAGAGAAGGACCTCAAGAGCGGGATCACGAGCAACACCGAAACCTTGGGCACCCTCTTGAGCACCGTTGACCCAGACGACGGTACCGTCGGGAAGAAGAGTACCTTCAACCATACCACGGCCCTCGGGCATAGAGTCCATCTCCCACTGTGGGTTAGCATCAAGAGGCCTGATGCGGCCGCAGGAAGCGTCGCCAGGAGCAGTAATGTCTTGGTAAGGACCACCACCGCAGATGATGATGTCAGCGTTCCAGTCATTGGCGCTGGACAGAGGAAGCATGACGGATCCACCAGTGTTGGGGTAGGTGCGGTAGGTACCGGGGAGGTCGGGCATCATGCGGACAACGGTGCCAGTCTCGACCTTGAAGATCTCAGCGGACTTGGAGACGGCGACGAAAACGTTGCCATCCTTCAACAAGTGCATGAAGGGGTACATGTAGTAGGGCTGGTTCTTGCTGAGAATCTCCATGTTATAGCTCTTGCCACGAGGAGTACCATCGGCGTTAAGGATCTCGTAGGTAGGGTTGTTGTTCTCGGGCTTGGTGGGGTCGAGACCGTTCTTGGAGCCAGATGCGACGAAGATGGAGTCGTCGGGCATGATCTGGACGGAGGCGTACCAGCGGGGAGTGTCGAGAAGCTGACCAGGCTCGACCCAGGCCTTTCCGTTCTTGGAAGCATCAGTGGAGGAGCGCTCGAGGTAACGGATACCCTTGAAACCATCGCCAACAGTAGGGTCAATGAAGTCAAGAGGAGCGTTTCCACCGAGGGAGACGAAGCGACCGTCAGCAAGGAAGATACCACCAGAGCAGAAGGCATTGGTCTTGTAGGCAAGGGGAACCAACTCGCCGGTGACAGGGTCCCACTCAGAGGAGTAGGCATACTGGCCGTTGGGAAGCTTGAGCTCAGTGTAGTTCTCGACCTTGTCAAGGAAGACAACACGACCATTGGGCATGAGACCAGCGTGCATAGCAGGGACACCAGATCGGCCCTTGAGGGCGATGGTTCCAGGCTTAGCAGCAACAGGCGCCGGGCTGGCACCAGGGGCGGGGACAGTAGGGGCTTGGTTGCAAGGACCGCTCTGGCAACCTTCTCCGCAGTGGGAAGTTGTGTTACCACAGTAGCCGTACATGCTGCAGCAGCTGCCCTGGGCCCAGCTTCCGCAAACAGTGTTGCCGAACTTGGCACCGCAGCTTCCATCAGTAGTGGGGATTCCATTGGGGTTGCTGGGAGTGGTTGGCTTTCCCATTACAGGCTCGCCAGAGGTGGTAGTCGAGGGAGGGCGGGTACCGGTGGCGGCAGTAGGCTTAGGATCGTTTTGAGGAGTTCCGTCCTTGCAACCATTCTGGCAGCCATTGGCCTTGAGGCAGTGACCGTCAGTGCTACCGCAGTATCCGTACTCAGAGCAGCAGCCACCGTAGGCGCCCTTGGCATCGCAGGAAGCGCCGCCAAAGTCCTTTCCACAGCGGCCGTCGTCCCTGGCGCCAGAGTTGGCAGGGGTGGCAGCAGTAGAGGCCTTGGGGGCATTGTCGCAACCGGATTGGCATCCCTTTGAGCAGTGGGCTGCGGTGTTGCCACACCAGCCGTACTCGGAGCAGCAAGTGCCCGTGTAGACTTTGCTGTTGGGGTCGCAGAGCAAGTTGCCGTTTTGAGGGCCGCACTTGCCATCCTGGGAGTACTTGTTGTTTTGCCTCTTGGTAGGAGCGAAAAGCAAGCTAGAACGGGATACAACCTTGGAGTAGGGGCTAGCATCATCGGGAACACAACTGGAAGGCGTTAGATGGGGCGTCGACGGGATGAGTGAATGGACGGATGTACTTACGTGTTGTTCGCTGTGCAGTGCTGGCCAGTCAAGCAGGTGTGGATAGTGGGGTCAGTGTAGTTGCAGGTGGGGTTGACCCAGAAGAAGTTGATGTTGGCCGAGGCCGCGCCAACGAGCAGGCCAAGGCCGTAAACCGAAGACCTCATGGTTGTGGCTAGGCTAGAGGAGCGCGTGTAAGCCAACGCACGATAAAATAATCAGGTGGCCATGGAGACGGTGGTGGAAAGGGACCAATGCAGAAAACATTGAGTCGCAGGCAGTGCATGAGGGGCCGTGCTGTAATGGTTTGGGGTGGATAGGGTAGTGGTCATGTGTGTGTGTGTGTGATCAGAAGACATGTAGTCTTCAAAACACATGACTTGTTTGGAACGAAACACAAATGCCCGATACATGTCCATGTGCCAGGAATCCGTGGACGGCAGGCAACAAACATGTTTTGCGTACGGGGGAGAGACAGAGAGAGAGAGAGAGAGAGGGAGGGTGGTGTGAAAAGAAAGCACTTACATCGAAACAGTCCAGAAGAATTAATAATTATTAGGGGGATATGTTACCCGGACTGGTAGGATACAGGAGGGGACGCTGGAAACGAGTGACAGCTGTCCTAGGGGAACGAGTGTGGTTGACAAACGAAGGACGAGGTGGGCGGGTTTGTAGGCGGGCGGCCGTGGGCTCAAGTAGCTGTGGAGGAAACGGGATATACGAGGCGCGGTGAGCTAGGTTAGTCATGGGCTCGGCCGCGAATGAGCCCCGGTCGGGCAACGACAGACAAGACCGGCCATCTGGAGGCGCGGGCCAATGACGGTATGGATGCAAGGTTGCCGTGCAGCCTTAAGGGGCCCGCGTCGTGGTTGGATCATGGCGGGGAGTGGGCGTGTGGATTTTCTATTTCTGGGCACAGGGATTGGCTGACGACGCCCACCGCGACGGAAAGCGGCAGCTGCTGGGCCGGGCAGACGACCCTCCTGTGGGGGAGGGTAAGCAGCTTGTCCCTTTTGATCGTATCCAAGGGGACATGTGTATATGCGCGACTGGGTTGTACAACAATAGCAACAATAATAACAGCAATACTCCTTTGACGGGCGAAGCGCTGAGCAGGCAAGGCTGTCTGTTCGGCTGCAACGGCGGTGCGCTGTCACCAAGCCGGTCGGCTGCACTCAAGCCTTTCGCTTCCTAGCTAAGCTTCACGCGCATGCAAAATGCAACTGCAGAAATTGCGCCTTGGGCCAATCACATCAGCCACATCGCCACTGCCCCTTCCCCTTCAGGCCTAGCGCCTCCTCTCTGCCCCTGACCAGAATTCTGCGACCAACTCCAAGCCTCCAAGACTTTGTACGTCCTGTTCGCATTGTCACTGACGTACAATAATGCCGTTGGCTTCGGCGCCGACACCCACTGGCTTGGAGCAAGCCAACAGTACTTGCAATTTGACCACGCGCTGTGATGTGCTGTGCTGTGCTCTCCTGCTGCGCTGTCCCTACCCTTCACCTCCGCCAATTGCCGGATTCCAGCATGAACCACGACGACCACGACGACACCTCCGACTAGTGGCCTGAGCGGAACAAAATACAATAGTCTCCTGCTGCATATCCTATAAGCTTAGTGACATGCGCCGCCTTCATCCGTCGGGCGATCGCGCCAGCACTATGATGCAAAGCCTGGCAGCCTCACGAGTTGGATCAGATGAAACTTCGTACCTGGGAAATTGGCCTTGGGGCCGCAAATTCCAATATGCAAACAACACACGCCTTGCCAAGTCTGGCCGCCTGTCAGCCCCACAACTGTTCAATCTGTCCTGTTATTTCCATCCATGCTCGCTCGACACATGGAAATTTGGCCGATGCCCCAGAAAGCCCGAGGAGATGCTTCTGTGACGCTTCCATCACGCCCTACAGGCCCTCCCCCCGTCGTTCTTTCCCTGGGTTCGTGCTTTCGCCCACTTACTTGCTGTCTAGTCACCTGATACCCGCCTGACAAAATAGTCTTGCTCCTCTTTCTCTCCTGTCTTGTAGCACGTACAAGTACAAACGTACAATACTACACTTGCCCTGTGCCCCCCTCACTCACCGTACCAAACTCTGGCAGCCGCCCAGCCTACCATCGGCCCGCCTCCGACCACCCGTCCACCAAAATCCCGCTTACACCAGCCTTTTTTTTAACGCATCAAGACATTTTAGGCGTCTGACACCCCCGCCCGCGCGTCCCCCGTATAAGCACTCTTCCTCCAAGCCACGCCCGACCCGTCCTCACTTACCATTCCCCTCTTGCCCCAGCCACCACAATCCAACAACCACCGATTACGCCTTCCTCCCCGCGAAAAAAAAAAGCTTAGTTGCGCCACAAACCAAGCAAATCAAACCTAATAGGGAAAAAAATCAACTAAACAATAACTCTCTGTGAACAAAAAGGCGTCTCGCATGCGCGCCTGTCATGATGAATTGTCTCCCCGATCCTGCTCGTACTACTAACGAATCCGCAATACGAGAAACTAAATTATGCCCACTGGTGGGTCACCTCTCTTCTGCCGCCGCTTCCACACGGGTTCGCGTCATGCCTACTCTTTTTGGCATTGCGCGGCACTTTTTTCTTTTCTTTTTTTGTCGCTCGCTCGCTCGCTCGTTCGCTTAGCGGGAGGAGATGGGGGAGGAGATGTAGATTCCCTTGTGCGGCGTTTTTATTATAGTAAATATTGACCTCGTGATAATGGGGAAAAGTGCGTTTGCTTCCCCTCCCCTTGTGTATACACATGTGCCCAACATGTATGCGGGTGGGGGTGTTGCATCCCGCTGTAACCTTTAGTGACGACGATCTGTGTTCTTTTTTGAATATGATATGCACAATACGTGGATTTTGCCTGACTCCTTTTCCTTTCGTATTCACGGCATGAGTCGCAGCTTGTGTTCGCCCTTTTCTTTGCTGTGGCACGTTCGGCGAGGCGGTAAACTCTAAACGCTTGAGATTGGAGAGGGACGTTGCGTACACAGTAAAGTTCAGGGGTGAACATTGCCTATCGGTCACCGTGCTTTTTTTTCTTCCACACCGTCAAAGGCAAATGATAATCCACGCGTCCCCTGTGTCTATCTGAACACCTGGGGTTACCTTGTTTGGCATTTGATCACATAATTTTCTATACTAACCCCCCCCCCCCCCGGGTATGCAGTCCGCGTAATAGTAGAAGTATGTATAGTAATAACATCGACAATAATAGGTTAAATAATAGTAATACAAGTGACCCATCCCGAGCCTAGGGTGAGAAGGAGAAGAAGAAGAAAGAACACCTCTCTACTCCTTCCAACACACCACTACACAATGAGGGTATATATCCAAGAAGAGTATTCCTCCCTACCATGTATCCCCAAACGCCCATGACATAGGAAAATAAAAAGAAGTAGCCCCCCTGCCCAAGACAAAGGGAAAAAAAGCCCGAAGAACGGTAAAAGTAATCGTGTAACAAAAGAAAAAAGAAGAAGACGATAAAAGAAGGAAGAGGACGAAAGAAAGATGAGAGAAAAAAAGTCTTCACTCAGTAGTACCACATCCACAACTCAACGCCCTCACAAACCCACTCGGCTTCTTCACCTTGCTATCTCGACTCGGTTCAACAAGCCGCTCAACACGCACACTGGCACCTCTCACAGACTCGACTCGAGTCTGCTCCACGCGATCATCTCTGCTCTTGCGCGTCATGGTCATCTTCTCCCGAGTCTCCTCGCCAGAGCTGTCGTAATGATCCATGCTGGTTTTGCCGCCGCCACCACCACCACTACTACTACCACCACCAGCCCCGCCACCATTGCGGCTCCTTATCTTGCGGCGTCCCATCCACGACGATAGGCCCGGTCGTTCTTCTTCTCCTTCTCCCTGTTCTTCTTCCTCGTCGCTGTCCCAGTCATCCCATGCGCTTGTCGTGTTTTGCAGCGGATATCCGAACCGGTGCAGACTCGCTGGTGGCGTCGTCGTCGTTGACATGGTTCGGTAGAGCGTGCTGAACTCAGAGGGTGTGCCGCTATCATTGCGTGCATGCGGATAGCGAGGCTTGGGCAGCATAGTTACGTTGGCTAGACTTGACCGCCGCGTCGAGTTCAGCGAGTGCGCGGTGCCTGATGGGGATGTAGGTGTCATGGGAGGTGAGTTGTCCTGCGAGCTCGACGTGTATGTTGATGTTGTTATTTGCAGTTGGAGACTTGGCTGCGTAGGTTCGCTGGGTGATTTCTTTCTGCGGCCTACAGATCCTGGCTGTGTTGACGAGATGCGTGTCGAGGCGTCGGTCAGGTGTGCTGGTAGTGGACAGAACGATGCGCGCTTGGGTAAGGCATATGTTGGTGTGATGATTTCCTCTCTTGAAGGAATTTGGCAAAGGCCTGAAACCGCCATGTTGTGTCCAGCAGCACCGAGAGGTGTTGCAATCTCTTCATTGCCAGGTGAAACCACGGTGCGTTTGAAGCAACCTTCGCACATAGCAGAGGCGTATATGATGGGACGCCCGCAAAATTTACAACCAGATGTTGTAGTAGATGGAATCGTAGTTTGCGCCCGCTTAAACCTAAAATCAAAACTTGTTCGTGAAGTTGAGCAGTCGTTTCGTTCATGCGTTTCATGCATCAGCTCGTCTCTTTCTTTCGCCCTCTCAACAGCTCGTCTTTCATAGCCGTCCCATAACTCGGCTGTCTTGGATGGTGAACAGGGTGACCGAGGGCTCTTAAGGGGCGACGCTGCTCCTGGTGTAGGTGGGAATTGCTGTGGCGCATCCTTTGCCGTTGCTGAGGCATCCATTTCTTGTGATATAATCAGCCACTAGAGAGAGATAAGATGATGGTAGACAGTAGGGAGAGGGGGATAGGTGGAGACCTATCAGTGCAGAAAATTCTTAACAAGATACTTGGTTCTGCGCACAAGAAATAGTTGCACATGTTCAATGTGCTGGAGCCAAGAGGTGAGACACCTTGTTTATCAAGTAGAATGATCCCACCAAAACAAGCCACAATACCAGCCAATCCCGGAGATTGGGAACCTCGAGAACAGTCTAGGGACAAATCGTAGAAAGGCGTTACCCTGTACCGCTCCCACAACTCGGTTAGTGCTGTGCTCTATTGATGTTCCTTCGATGAATACGTAGCGCCCGTGATATATCGAGGTGTCTTTGATCACTCAGGATAAGATGCGATATGCCATGTTCAGTTTGCGCTCCGTAAAGGAACCCAAAGCGTCATGTGTGGCCCAATATAGCAGGATTTGGGGCAAGAAAAAGCACAACTAAGGCGCACTGTCTTGTCAACATGCCTCTTGCACCACGACATCTGTCAAGAAACACTATTAGGATCTGACTACATGTTCGCTGTGCAGCATGATTTGCAGCGCGCGTTAGCGGCCGCGGCGGCCGCCCTGTTGGATGCCCTGAGAAACCAGAAGGGCAGCATTAGATCTGCTCAATTCGACTACCGGCGAGGGCTGTTGTTGTTCAAACCCCTTTGTACCGCCACGGCTGCAGGCATGAAAGATCGGAATGGGCCTCATAGTTGTGGCACAGCATTATGAAGGTGTGACTGTTCGTTATTCTCGGCTATCGAGGAAGCTCTCCAGTCGTCAGGAACAAGGCCCGTATACTGCAGCTTCACAGTGAGCTTTGGAAGAGATGAAAAAGCAGGGATTGCGGCAGGTACAAACGCTAGCATCTCCACAGCAGGATCAGTTGCTGTAAACATTAGGAAGCCTGGTCGCCGTCCCGATACCCTGTGTAACAGGCGCAATGTTCAGGATTGCGCCCGACATTGCACATGGTGTCATCCGTGGAGAGATTTCAGATCGTCTCAGCACCGGCCGCAGCACGAACGCTACCTCAACTGGCAGTTGTTGAATGGTAGTAACGTAGATGTTTGATCGGTCTTCTGGACTGCAGTTCTGGCAGTTGATGAGCTAGTCGGGGTAAAGAGATGAAGGGTCAATGTTAGAACGTAGAAGTTCCGCGGCATTGACGCTAGTGAGCCCAGCAACTTGCTGAATTGGGACGGGATGGCTTGCAGCCATGCAGTAATAACTCTGGCGGCTGGGATATGCAGGTAACTTGTCACATGTCACCTGCTTACAAGTACTGATCATGACTGAGCATGACTGCTTCGTGCTGGCGCTTTCACCATAACAATCAAGACTTGTCTCCTCGTTGCCTTCGACAGAGCAAGTTTCCAATCTCATACAGCGATGAATTGCGCCTCTGGGCGCCACAATTAGAGCACAGGCAGTCTGATGGTGACAATCAGTCAAACATGCCACGGGCGGGCTTGCGCGACTTCAAGTGTTGACAGTGATGACATCGCTCCCAGGACATTGTGAGGCCTATGCATCCATACACAATAGCTGGCGACCAGGTTTCAAGGCTAAGTTCCCGTGACCCTCTTCTTACCCCTTTAGTGTTCGGAATTGCACCCAGAATTGCTTTTGACGAACAACCGCGGAATGTACTATGCACTGGCACCCATCATCCTAGACTAGTCGTCGATCGACAACATGTGCGGAATGGCTACCGGCCCCGCACCCCCGGACACTCATGCGTCTTGCAAGCTGTACGCCATTATCCAGCCAACCAAACGAACCGAAACAAAAACACTAAGCTTATCGACATGCAACTTGCTCGAGTCTTGGAGAAAGTGAGATGCGTCCTGCGAACCACGGGGCGCTGAATTAATAAGGCCAAAACGTATATAACCCTGCGTCTGGCCATAGCTCACCATGTTTGCTTACCCCAAGATCATTTTCCATGTCACTGGTAGTAGCAGAGAAGACGAAGAGCGAAATCCACTCAGACTGCTCATTTTGGTCTTGGGTATCTTCTTCTTGTCTGAATTGAGTCGGGGAGTGTGGTAGCAGACGCTTCGCAAACATGCGCTTCACGAGTCTAAGGGATTTGGATCAGACGGACGGTACAGTGTTGTTGCAACAGAGTAGGTTGACGTCCCAACAACTTCGACGTGGGGGTTGACAATTATCGTAGCCACAAGCGAAGAGTCTTCATCAAACATACTCTTGTACCCACAACCCTCTCCAACAGACCCAAATGATCCTCTCCGTTGGTCACTGTGGAAGAAACATGTCGCATTCGCATCAGTATGCGCATTTACATTTCTGACCAATTTCGGTATCGGTGGCATAGCGCCAGCGTTGTACATCATGTCCATTGAGTTCAACAAGACAATGGACGAAACCTCGCACCTGCTTACCTATCCAATCTTGGTCCTTGGCGCTTTTAATTTCTTCTGGGTGCCAATGGCTAATTACTTTGGTAAACGACCAGTCTTTGTTCTAGCAAGTGGGTTGCTTTGTCTCTGTTATGTGTGGGGCGCTGTTGCAACCTCCTTTGAAAGCGTGCTATGCAGCAACATCATCGCAGCATTTGCCGGGTCTTCAACCGAGGCGTTGGGTGCGGCTACAGTGAATGTGAGTTTCTCGTCTTGTCTTACGCACTGGCGCACACTCTTGTTTTGCCTCTAACTCATGTGCCGTCTAGGATCTGTACTTCTTGCATGAGCGGGGTGCTAAGATGGGAATATACATGTAAGCGCGTTCTTTCTGCCTTTGGATAATCTCAAAAAAGTCTCTGACATGCACCAGGAACGCTATAGCAGGCGGAAATACCTTTGGCCCCCTGATCTGTGGCTTCATTGTTTCAAATTTGTCCTGGCGATGGCAGAAATGGATATCCGCAATCTTTACAGGAATAAATTTCCTGACGATCTTTTTCTGTGTGCCAGAAACAAGATACATGCGCGAAGTTGGCCAAGTTAACACGGTTCTCTCGCCTTCAAACGAGAAAGTCGTCATAGGTGATGAGAAGCTGCCCCAAGACTCGTCTCCCGGAACACCATTGGAGCAGTTACCGAAAAAGACGTGGAAACAGGATCTCAGCCTATGGTCTGGGGTTTCGGAAACCAATCTGGCCAAGATGTTTGTGCGGTAAGTAGTAGTCGAGAATGACAGTGCATTCAGCTGACGTTTGGAAGACCATTCCCGATGATCATATATCCAGCGGCCATCTATGCATTTCTTTGTTACTCCATCTCCCTGGTTCTTACGGTAGCAGTCAACATCCTCAATCCTTTTGTTCTGCAAGCACCACCGTACAACTGGAACGTACAGATTAATGGCCTTATCAACATTCCTGGCATCCTAGGTAACATGTTTGGATCATGGGCTGGAGGTAAGAGAACCTAAATTGGACTACTGCAGAATATCCTAATCGCATCTAGGTGACCTTGTAGACATGTGGTGCAAATGGCGGACCAAGAAATACCTTGGCATTTATGAGCCCGAAAGCAGACTTTATCTAATAATCATTCCACTCGTGCTTACTACTGCAGGCAGTGTTCTGTTTGGGTATGGTGTGCAGAATGCGCTATCGTGGGTATCGCTCTTTTTCGGTTATGGGATGATCTCGGTCTCGCTGACTGCCATTCCTACAATTACCTTGGCGTATGCTAGTGATTGCGCACTGCCAGTCAACTCGGATGTCATGTTGCTCATCAACGGGTTGAAGAATATCGTGGCTTTTGGTTTCTTGTACGGCGTAGTGCCTTGGGTCGCTGACGTTGGCTATGTCAGTGCCTTTGGCACAATGGCTGGTGTATTCGCTGGAATTGTGACCATAGGAGCGCTACTACTGATCCGGTATAGGGCAAGTACACGGCATGCGGTGGCACAATGGAAGGTCATCCTGGAGTGAACGGAGCGGTTATGGAATTGTAATGTGTACACGAAATGCCTAACGAACACGTACATGGAGATGTAACTTTTCCTGGATGGTACCCAAACCAACGTTATAGATAGTGAGATGAGATGCTTACTGGACATGGGGTGTGTCATGGCTAGGAGGCTGCAGCCCCTTTTTGGGCTTGTTCTATGAGTTTGCTATGCATGGACTCGATTTCGGGAATAATCAAAGACTCGATCTCCACAGAGGGCTCGCCCTGTGGGATACCCCGTTCGGTGGCAATTGACCCACCAGCCTCATCATCCTTCTTTGTCAGCTGATCAGCAGATCCAACAAGTGACGGTCTGCCTGACAAACTCTTTGTCCTACGGCTTGTGGGTACTCTGATCCATTTCTCGCCTTCAAGAACCGATACAAATACGACTTCCCATTTGCGAGTGAGCAGCAAATTTCCAATGACGAGGTGGTGCGAGTATTTATTTAACGCATACTTGGCCTTCGTAACAAGCAGCGAAGGATCGGTCTCGAGTTTGAAGCTTACAATCATTGCTTCCGGTGCCCAGCCGTCCACAAGTTGTTTTAGAAACTTAGGAACCGGCTCAAGATCAATGATGAGACTTTTGCCTTGAGTGCGTGCCGCCGGAGGTTTTGCATGGCTTGCAGTTATGCCGTCTGCACCTTGATGGAACTCTTCATTCGATTGTATCTTGTGCTCGACCATGCGGTCCTGGGGCACAAAGAAGTCAGAAACAGCAGCAGCCAGGTAGAACATGGCTTTTGGGCCGAGTGGACGCATGAGCTGCGCAACCTCGCGCAAATTCCACAGGTACTCGGTAATTGTTACGTAGGACAGAATCAACAACTTGTTTCCGCGCTTGACCTCGGTATACTGGCGCAAGACGCGTAGCATCTGATCCTGGTGTTGTTCGTCCACCACGACCTGGCCGTTCTCTTCTTTCATGTAGTCCAGAAAAGAACGAGTATTATGTGAATAGTGTCTTGAGTAAGGCAAGAGCGAGAACTGCCTGTGCAAGAAGATGACAGCATATCCATTTTGGAGGAAATACTCGGCACTGGTAGCTCCGCGTGTACCAGCAGAGAAGTTATCGATGTAGCGCACAGTTTGTTGTTCTAATGGCACCGTGGTGCCGCCGGAAGTGACCAGCACCACGCGGCGGTGTTCGTCGGCATGGCGTGTGATGAACTCTCTCGCAAGGGTTATGTTCGCCTTGAGGTCCTTTGGCGGGGGCTCGTTGTCAAAGTAGTGATTCTCAGCCTGTTGTGCGTTTAGATC